CGGACCCACCACTGCCGGTGTAGTCATATCGGACCTGACACCACTATGGGTGTGGTCATATCGGACTCAACACCACTCTGGGTGAGGTCATATCTCATGATGAATCAACGGTCAACACCACATCAGGGGTGTGACATAACATATCATAACGGAGTAATAGCATGGGGAGCCCTAATTACTATGTAATTGACCATGAGACCAAATCACTCTTATTTGGTAATCTTATACGTGATCCATATCTCATCTTGCTTACTCATAATTCGTTACTTGTACATGTACTTGACCGGGCCATACTTGGCTCAACATAGGTAAAACAGGAGTCGTATAATTGCACTTCCTCGGGGTGAACCCTCGTGCATGTCATCCTCCTTAAACATCATAATATCACCATGAGATATATATTTTCCCACTTGTGCATCCAAATACAATAATCATGAAAAATCATACCTAATCACCTTCTCGAACCATCGTAAAGCATATTAACAGTCAAGCCCACAATTTGCAACATATACACAATCATCAGCATAAACAAGGTTCATATCGATTAGGGCAAGTCAATAATATCATACAGCAATCCAGGGTTCAACATATAGCACAAAAGTTCATACACCCCTAATCATGTCATTCTAGTTCACCTAGATCAATTCTAAGCATCAATATAATTATCGTGATACGACAAACCCGGTATGCCGTGCTAATCCCTCACCAGTTCTGGTCGTTCAAACACCGGTTCTAGCCTCCCGTACTAAAACGTCAATTTCACGAACGAACCCCGAATTAAAATTCGAGACCGCCCTAATATCCCCTGCAGTATCCCCGTCAATATTAGTTCCAGGCTCCGGGTCAAATTCTTGATAAAAATACCTCAAACCCTGGCCGGAGCTAAATTCAGCGGTTTGGACCCCGGCCTAAATAATTGCCGAAATTCAGGGATTAGAACTAGAGGATTGATTACCTCACTGCAGGAAGCTCGTATATGAAATTTGGGCTCAATCCGACTTCCGGATACTCCAAAGCCCTAATTTGGCTTATCCGGAGTTCAAGAAATTCCTGAACCAAAAACTCGTTTTAAAGCTCTAAATCGATAAATCACGATGAATGGATGGATTAGGCATTACCTACGGGATTTTTGGATCACTAGAGCTCGAAAATTGAGCTCGGAGAATTCTTGACCGAGCGCTCTGTTTGCTCTGTTTCTCTGGTGCAGTTTGGAAATGGGACGGGGAAAGTGAAATGAGAAGGGGAAAGTGATGGACGGGTAATATATATGCCGACCGCATATATGTATGTATATATAATATAGATATATTATATTATATATATAATTAATACGTATACTTATCCGATCGATCGATAATCCGATTTTCGTCGAAATAGTGTCGAAATGCTCAAATTTAAATCGCGAACTTTCTAGCGATCGAAATATGAGTTTTGCCGGAACGGGATGTTACAATATCACATGGGGATAATGTGACACTACTATATGCTATCATGTTCGGATAACAACTAACTATCTATTTATCAGGAACAATACATAACAGTTGGAATCTCACAGGGGATAATGTCTCACTACTATATACTATCATATTTTCATAATAACTAATTATCTATTCTCCATGAGATGTACAAACCAACTGGAAATCTCAAGATTGGGCACTTATGCAGATCATATAGAGCCAAACCTTTATGAATTTTGATAACATATTTTACCATTTTCTAAACACATTTCAAGCACCAAAAAAGCAAGAACTAAGATGTTTGAGAGGATGAATCTGTCTGTAGGTTCCACCTTGAGGGAATCAATATTTGCAATTATATAAACCCAAGACATTAGTGGTACAGATGCCAGTGAAGAAACTCTAATCGAATTGCGATATGAAGGACTATATACCTTAATTTCCCTTGTCCTGCTAACTTCTTGTTGGCTCGGTTCCCACACCCCAATTAGATGATGTTCAAAGTACTCCAAAGTTGAACTACTTGTTTTTGTGTACCTTTAACTGCAACTTCATTTTAGAAGCAATAAAAATACATTAGCACATACCACTAAGAAGTATCCAATTGAATCCATCTGGCGCTTTCCACATATCGACTACCCTAGGAACTGTTGCCGTTGCAGTATACAAATATTCATCAAGAGGTTGTAGTGGGGGGGGGGGAGATTCAAACCTAACTAGGGTACGTGTTCAGTAAGTGGAAGATAGGAGAACCGAAGAAATTTGGAGTTACTGAGTAGCTATCGTCGGGGGAGATGTGGCTGCAAAGTCTTGATTTTCCAGAAGTTGGCTTCCTCTTCTCTCGATGAGTATTGAGCAGATCGAAGCTGTATAGGTGAGCTTTGACTGGAGACTTAGTCAAGTTGGAGGATCAACAACAGGCCCAAGTGATGGTAGAATGAATTCAGTAAGACCCATTACTATTGGGTTTAGAAAGAATATTTTGCCCCTCCGAGAAGTGCTCTCCGTGGAGGGTTTTCAAATGCTGGAAACTCTATTCTTTAAAACTCTTTATAGTACTGGTTGATGATTGATAATAGAGGGTAAGATTGTCATTTTGCATGCCTTTTAATAGTCAACTAACAGAATTAGTAATAGAAGGGTATATTTGTTACGCTAGAAAAATATAGGGGTATATTTGTGCAGAATAATAATACAGGGGTACTAAGGTTAATTAGCAATAGTAAAGGGTACAAAATACTATCAACCCTTTTAGTTTCTAAGTTGGGATCGGGTTTTTTTAGGTTGGGTTGGGTTGATTTTGGTTTAGTTTATGGTATGCGATATATTTAATATAATTTCCTATGACATGGCTAGGGGTGAAAATCGGTACGGTATCGGTATCCCAATGCCAAATACCGAAATTCCAAATACCAAATTACACCCTAAAATCAATCTCAATCTCAATCCCAATCCCTAAATAATTTCAATATCCCAAACCCAAACCCTAAATATTTCGGTATCCCGTATCACAATCGGTATTATCGAATACAAAATTAATTACCTTTGCAATTAATAATTAAATATATAAATTAGATTTTATTGTTTAATTTTGGGCAAAAAGAATAAGCAAAGAGCCCTGAGTTTGCCTAAAGCTAGGATATGGATAAAGAGAATGAAGGAGAAGTAGGGCTGTTAGCGGTGCGGTTTCGGTTTTAACCGAACCGCAACCGCGGTTAACCGCAGCCGACGAGTACCCAAAAACAGCAACCGCCACCGACACCGATAGACTTATCGGTTAGCCGAAAACCGCCGTCGACGGTTTCGGGTCGGTGTCGCGGTTAGCTGAAGACCGACGGAAGGGATGGGTGGAAGGGATGACGGCGATTTCAGCTTCAGGGACGGCGGTGAGGATGGAACAAGGCGATGCAGGGGACGATGACGGCGACCAAGGATCGGCCTGCTGCGACTGCCGGCGACAGAGGATCGATCAAATCGACCTGCTGCTACTGCCGCCTGGCCTTCGATCTGGAGGATGAAGAAGGACGAGATGACGACGGGATGGCGACGACGACCGGCGATCGATCTTCACCACTGCAGCTACCCCTTCTCCTTCTTGGCCTTTGTTCGCTGGATTTCGATGGCGGACGGAGGGGTTGAGACTTGGAATCGGAGGGAGATTAGGGAAAAAAGAGCGCCGCCACAATCCCCGCGTCTTCCTCATCGTCGCAGTCGCCATCGTCGATTCGTCGCCATCCTTGAATCATCGTCACCATCGCCTCGTCTTCCCTCTCTATTTCTCTCCCGTTTCACTTGTTCTTGTTGTTGCATGTTTCGATCTGGGCAAGATCGAGACTGAGGGTGCAGATCGAAGGTGGTCTCAAATCTGATGGTGAGACTGAGAAGAGAGAGGGACCAGATCAGGTGTGATTGAGATGTCGTCGTCGTCATCGTTTAACCGGGTTGCATGTGCGGAGAGATGCTCCTCAAGGGTTGGGTTGAGATGTCGTCGCCTCCGACTGAGTCTTCATCTGCCAGAGGCTGAGGCGGCCGGAGGGAGAGCAGAGCGAACAAGAATTGGAGAAGAGAGAACGAGAAGAAGAGAGTAAGTGGCGCTGTGGCAGAGTGGAGGTGTCGCGGGACGGTTACTCGGTGCACCGAGTTTATCTCGGTTTCTCCACCTGCGGTTTTCGGTGAATAGAAATCACCAAAACAGAACACCGCCACCGCCACCGAAGGCAAGATGTCGGTTTTTGGTTCGGTTAATAACCGTTCGGTTTGGGTCGGTTTTTGGTTTAGCCGAGAAACCGCCAACCGATTATCACCCCTAAGGAGAAGTGACATCTCAAATTCTTGTCATTAATAATCTTTAATTTGACAAATTGGAGGTTGAGAGATGACTAATGCTCGTGTTTGCTTTTTGGTGTTATGAAAATAACAAGAGATTAGGTGAGAGACGAGAGTGACTTAAATTGGAAAGTCAAATTTGAGTTGGATGGGGACTTCTAAGTTGTGAAATAGTGGTGGAATGATCTATGCATAAATAATTGACATTCTTGGTGGTTGAGTGTCATGTAGCAGTGAATGAGAGTCTAGTTGAGAGGATTAAATACATATTAGCTTATATTTCGGTATTGATCCGTATTTCGGTATATACCGATCCCAATCCTGTAATCTCTAATACCATATTACAATTTAAATTCAATCCCAATCTCAATCCAAAGAAATAATATGTGTATTCAGTAATACCAAATATAGATAAATTCGGTACGATATTCGGTATATCCCAAATGCTTGTACCAAACTTCCAGCCCTATACGTGGCTGTTGACATGATAATTATGGATGAAAAGTGGATGGAGATTGACGGTTTGACTGATTTGTTAGTTAGTGAAAACATGAATGACCCATTTGTTAAAATCTAAAAGTTAATGACCGAATCGCTAATGACCTTTGACTTTTTATTCCATCAGAATTTTTCCTTTTATGCCTATGGCATAATGTTTCCTTTTATAAACCATTCCCAAATTCAGAAACGATCCCAGCAATCCCATCTCAGCCAAAAATGTCGAAAACAGAGCAACAGAAGTCAACGGCCGCCGACGAAGGAATCAAGCAGTTGGTCTCAACGTTGCCCACAAAACCAGACTGCAATTCCACCACCAATCTTCTCTACCAATACCAAGGATTTTGGTACCACCAATTTTACCTTGAACACCTAATCGCAGCTCAAACCCACTTCACCCCTGAACCCAACAGCACCATCCTCTGCAGCTACCCGAAAACCGGCACCACATGGCTCAAGGCCCTCTCTTTCGCCATAACCACAAGAACCCACTACCCGCCCTCTCAATCCCCTCTCCTCTCCCGTTTCCCCCACGATTGCGTCCCTTTCTTCGAGCTCGCCCCTTCGGTGGCTCGAAACAAGTTGCTCGTCGCGACCCACATCCCCTACACTTCCTTGCCGGCCGCCGCCGCCGCGGCTTCCGGCTGCAAGCTTGCTTACATCTGCCGGGATCCCAAGGACGTGGTGGTTTCTCTGTGGCAATTCCAGAGGAAACAGAAGAAGGAGGAGGACGACGACGGCGACGCCGACATGGGGATCGAAGAGGCTTTCGAGCAGTTCTGTGAAGGCAATTCCGTTGCCGGGCCGTACTGGGACCATGTTCTCGGGTACTGGAGGGCGAGTTTGGAGTTCCCTGAGAGGGTTTTGTTTGTGAGATATGAGGAATTGAAGAGGGAAACGGAGAGGTGCGTGAAAGCATTGGCGGATTTTTTGGGTTGTGGGTTTAGCTTGGAGGAAGAGAAACAGGGGATTGTGCAGGGGATTATTGATCTGTGCAGCATAGAGAGCTTGAAGGGATTGGATGTGACCAAGAATGGCCGTTTCGCTCCGACGGAGAGCATGCCGTATACTATACATAACAGCTCGTTTTACAGGAAGGGGGAGGTTGGTGATTGGAGGAATTTTTTAACAGAGGAGATGGGAGCTCGGTTGGATAAGATTATGGCGGATCGGTTTGCTGGGTCTGGGTTGGGACTCTGGTTTTCTGCTTCAAATCAAGAAACGACTAATTGAGCTGTATTGCGTTTTTCTCTGGGCAATTTATATGTATGGCATTATATTGTTTGATGATGCTCAGATCATCTATTTTGTGTTTGTTACTTTGTTTCCACTTAATTCTGGACAATTTGTACTAAACTGAATGATATTTTTTTCTGAAATTTGAGGGAAAACATGCTTTGTAAAGATTGAGAAAAATGTAAAGTTGATTAGACTTTATTTTCTTAAAACTTTTCGCCAAATTTAGGTTTTAGTTCAAAACCTCTCCTCGCAATTCGATTTCCTAGCTTGGCTGATGGCTCCATTAACTTCCATCTGACAGCCGTCGGCCAGCAGTATAGAAATATGTTCAGAATCGACGTTTAGCTTCCAACAATCATGTCGAAACCGAGCATAAATGGGCACGAGATAAGACGTGGAAAATGGCTGGTGCCAGAGCTTCATCACTGATGAATGGAATTCTCATCATTTGCAAATGCTTTGCTTTGTTTCAGTTACATAGGGAGTACAGAAGAATACTACATGTCAAACGACTACCTTCATATATATATTTCTACACTACTTAGCCTGGCTTCTTCCTACAATGCAAGTAACTCTCCTCCCTTTTGCCACAAGGATTCCACTGCCAGAACAATCTATGAATGCTACAAACCCGTTTTGGTTAATTCGGTTCAGATACTGTCATCTGAAGTTGCAGCAATGAGCCTGTCCTCTCGACAACTTATCCCACAGGCAAATCATCTGCCTCGGCGACTGGTAATGTGCTGTGTAGTAATCTTCCATGCATCCATATTGACAGAACTTCCAGCTGTGGGAGTACTGGACGGGTGTCGTGCTGTTGAATTGCTCAACCCACATTCCCATGCTCACATCTTCCATCTTGAATAGCTGCCAAAAAACCCATTTGCGGCTGATGAATTTGCTGATTGTGTATTTGTAACCAAAAGAATACCCATGCATGCTAGAGAGTTTTCTTAGAACTAAGGTTACCAAGGGTCACTTACCCTGAGGCTCCGATTGCTGTGTTGAGAAACGATAAAGTTGGCGATATCGCTAGACACTACATAGCCTGGACCATTTGCATAAGGTGGATATACTGATTCTGGCCACTCCTGTTAAACATTAGCAAATTACATGAGAAAGATGAAGGAAATCTTTCTAACTTTACTGGTAGTGACTGCAAGGAACAAATTTCAGATATGGGTAGGAATCATTGCTCATCTTCTCCACCTATGATGAAGATTTGGGAATTCTTATGATTACAAATGAAAAAGAACGTTATGGTATTACCTCAAAAGTGACTGCCCATTTTCCATTTCTCAGAGGACGATGCAAAAGATTCAGGTTTCCCATATAGAGAGGCTTCTTTCGGGAGACATGATCAATTTCTTTCAGAACTGTCTCCACCCTTACAAATGTGTCATCATCACATTTCATTATGTATGCAGCCGAAACATTTTTAACCTGGAATGACACATCGTGAGTTTGTTCCAAACTCAATTCCAAAGACAGAGAAGTACATATGTGTTTTGGATAAGAGGTTAACCATTAATATCTTTTACTTACCCCAAACTCACAGATGGCAATCGTCTTAAGAACTACGAGCTCGTAGCGATCCATAAATGGTAAAATCACAATGTCGCCAAAGTAATCAGCCTCCTTCTTGAGCACAGCATTCACCTCTTTTCTTGGATTCTGCAGGTCGATATAGTGACAATTAAGATAAAAGAAGGTAAATGACTGTCAATAGCAGAAGATGGAAGGCTATTTATCCACATAAATGTAAAATTTGGACTTCTGAAAATATGTTGAATGCGTAGCAACTGGAACATGGAACTCTTACCAATGCCACGAAAAAACGAACTGCCACATTAGAGGACTTTATCGATGATGATTGCATCCATGTTTTCCTAACTGCCATGCGTTCTGCAAAGTGGTTTGTGGCTGACAAAATCCCAATAAAAAGCCAAATAGGACTCTTTGAGATGGGACGAGATTTCCACTTCTCTGACATTTCCAGTACCCTTTGAGGAGAGAAGCTCGGATGAGACTTGGGGAGCGAAGTTGCATAAACTGACTTAATGTCTACTTCTCCTTTTATTGCTAACCCTGTAGCATCTTCAAGGGTAAATCCCTGAAAAATAACGAAGAAGGTAAACTAATGGGACACAGGCAAATTCGGTACATAAGACAGTTTTCTTTTTAGGGCACAATAGAAGGGACAAGCTTGAAGTGGGAAGATAGCAGAAAGCATCAACTAGAGGCAATCAACAGCACAGAAAAAATAACAGTATGTCGCTGTATAAATTAAAAAGCTAGATGTATGATACACCCTTGAAATATGGATAAGCATTTCACAAAGGAAAATTTGCAACATACTGGGCGGTAAGGAAATGAAGTCACATGGCGACCCCCGACACTGATGTGGTAGCCATCAACGCCCGCTCGCAATGTTAAGATGAACAACCTTCCCTCCACAAAAGGGAACGGCCAGGTTACTTCGGGTTTCTGTTCACGCCCTATGAATCTCTTGAACCAGGAGGTCGTCTTGGATTCTTTAGAGTCAGCAGAATCCCTGTGCATCCATTTCTCACATCTCACTTGTCCATCAACTGCAAATATACGGGAATCAAACCTCAAAACAACTTTTTACTGGAAGCACAATAAAGTAACTACTAACTTCCTTCAACACTTTCTTCTATATCAGGGAAAAATCATAAATATGAAGAGTCTTAGAAGTAGAAAAAATTTATGAACCATAACAAAGACCTTTGGCCTAGAAGGAAAACTCTTACCCAGCTGATCTTCATCTTTCTTGGAAGAAAACCCATCACACCTTTGAGCTACTCCCCACTGCATCCTATAGCAGGTGTTATGTTCAATGACTGGACGTTTACTCCAATCTCCTCTCAATCGAGGGTTCAAATGCAAAATCTTAGGGGGGTCCTCCCCATCCACAACCTTCAACCCTTGTAATTCAATGACAAACTGAGAAACCATCACAATGCCATTACCGTGCCTTAATCTAGCTAGCTGGGGAACAAACTCCGGATGTGCATAGTGAGGTTTCCCAACCACTGTAATGGAGGAACCGGCAGCTAACCCACAGGGAAGGAACACCATAGCATCCCCTCTATCCAACTCCTCTCCACTCATTGAAACCCAAAGAGGGCAAGACTCAGGTTTACCCTCAATTGCAGAACTCGGTCCAATATCATCGCCCTTATAGTTCTGCACTTCTTTCCATGCCCTTAAACCCAAGGTCCATGCTTCATCTGCCATTTTCTCGAGGGTGGAAAAACCACTAGTCCGATTCATCCGCCTCATGACCTCCCCAGTAATTCGACCGTAACGGTGCTGCAGTGGTTTTAGAGGTTTGGACTCTCCCTTCACTTCTTCCACCGGTTCTTTACTGGGCATGTTGGGTGCAGCCTCGTTCTCGTTATCCTCCAATTTGCGGTGAAATGTATCCATATAAGCCGAACCAGACAATGGCTTGCTCAAATCAGATCCCCGGGCCTCACCTCTGCTGGCCTCACCTGAATCCAGATAACTCTCATCTCCACTCAATGTTGCCGCGATTTCTAACAAATGAGGGACCTTGGATACTAAAAACACGAAGTACAATGCTGCTATCCCTAGTAGAAGATGGGACATTTTGAACCTTCTACCAGTTGCAGGTTCCACCTTTACCCTCTTCATCTTACAAACCCCCTCCGATCGAACAAATCAGCACACAGGGGGGAAACTACAATATATACAAATACCCAGGACGGCCTCTCTTCAGCATTACCTCTAGAGAAAGATATACAACAGCTTAGGAAGAGAGGGAAACCAAGGACGGAGATAGCCAGAGCTTCAACGTTCAACCAGTTTTTCGCGGCATTTAATTCAGACCCTACAAAGAGAAATTGATCCCGCAAATTTATCTCGTACCTGCCTGGTCTCCTCCTGACGGTGAGATTGAAGAAGACCCTTAATCAGGGAAGCTCGAAACAGCCAACAGAAACCGAATGTAGCACAAACAGGCAGACCCACAAAGCTGCAATAAATTCAAGAAGCAGAAACCAACCAGCGGCCTTCAATGGATTCGAGGGGAGATCAAGTTCACAACTCGCCCAATCAAGGAATGGGATCCAGGAAAGAGCATGAAACCCTGGATGGATGTTTCTATGAACACCCAACAAGCGTATGGCTCGAAATGGGTGGATAAAGGGGAAAGAAGGAAGCGACAACGGTTGGCGGGGAGAGGAAGAGAGAGAGGTCGAGCAAATAAAAATATCAAATTTGGAAGGGAAAAATAAACAGAGAGAAATGGAGAAAGTGTTGAGACTTCAATTTTTAGGAGTTGCAGAAAAAAGCGCAGGGGGAGGGATGGAGGAAGGACAGAGAGGGTGAAATGCACAGTGAGACTGTACTAATAATTAATATAATTAGTAATTATTGGTATTAATTAACAAAATTGATAATTACTAAAGAAGAAACAAGATAAATTAAAAAGAGTTCACACAAAATAAACCTGATAGGTTAGTAGGTTACTCTTAAATAAATAAAGATAAGTTTTAGTGGGAATTCCAGCCCACATTTTTGTCTCTCCCTCATATTGTTTTTGGAAAATCCAACTCATATACTTCCAAACAATACAATTAATCCAATATGAAATCTAGAATTTGTAATATAAAGATTTGTTACATGTTGATAGAATGAAGTTGTATTTATATGAGTGGGATGCATGAATCTAAATTTTAAAAGATAAGAGAAAATTATATGAATTATAATTATGCTAGTTTCTAAATGGATGAATGTGTGGAATTGCCTTGGAGGAGATTTATCTTGATAGTGTCTTTTTTTTTTTACTAGTTAAACAATGTACAAGTGAAGAACTGATAATAACTTTATCGTTATCTTATAACAGTCATGTATTTTGATAGTTTATTATATACTGAAATCTTAATCTTATTGGTTTGATTTTGATTATGTTTTCACAGAATCCTTTGGTCAAATGTTGATCAGTAAAAGGTAGTGTGATGTATTTGTTGTTGAAAACTTTAATAATCACTCATTACTTTGTTTATAGTAAGGTTTTCCGATTAGGAGGCAAATCTCCCTGAGACTTGATATGAGAAATTTGGGGACAACCTCTTTAGCTTTGTCTCGTTATATATATATTTCTCGGGAAAGAAAATAAATTGAAAGAGGGACAATCAGTGTTAAGTAAATGGAAAGCAAAGCTTTATTAAAAGGATAACACGTTTCCCAGAAAAATTAAACAAGGAAATGAAAGGCAAACCCACAAAATCCATGGAATCAATTCGTGTGGTCCCTATATCCGCGCGGCGCCTAATTCCCGGATTACCGCCTAAATTACATTTATAAGTTAGGCAGTGACGACTAAAGTGCAAGGGTTTACAGTTTACTCGATCCAAGGAAAAACATTTTAGTTTTTTTTTACACCCAGAATTGAAACAACGGCAAAACATCCGGAGCAGCACTAGCCCGTAAGGCCGTAACCGTTCGTGTATATAATTAAGCAGAATTGCTTTTTCATTATAATTTTCAAACCATGGTTTGGATGGTACAGGGCCGGTACTGTAATTTTGAAGGTCTTTTTGGAGACAAAATGTGGCCCAAACATTTTTTCAAATAAATTTAATACAATGAAGAAATATATAGAATGTGAGACCCATAAAAGCACAAAATGTTAGGCCTCTTGGTGCTTTAGTTTGTGCGTGTTTTTTTCCTACTAATTAACTTATTTTGGTCTTTAAAATTCAAAAAGAATAACTGATGTATTAGTCTACAAGATACATAAAGCTAAAATATGGGTTGAAATTCTCCCATTTTAAATTTCGTGACCTGAGAGTGATTCTAGGAAGGTTATTTTTGTCATTGCACCCAGTTCATGTTTATATATTAAAAATGTTATCGTTGGAGTTCAAACCTTGGTCACTTAAATGACGAAACAACATTATAACCAACTAGGCTACATTTTATTTATTGTTGTTTCTTTGATTAAACTCTAGGAATATGTTTGGTGATGATGCTTCTATATTTTTATTTTATCTTAAGTTATTTATATTTCTACATAATATATAAAGGCAAAACATGGGTTGGATTTTCAGGGACTTGAATTCTCTTGCCTGTGAGGGTTTCATGGAAGGGTAGTCTGACAACTTACCTGTCATTTTAGGTCATTCATTTTTTGCTATCAATCCGCAACGTGCCCTTTCAATCATTCAATTTCATATCTATAACCTGTGTCCTCATCAACAAATATAATAAATATTGGAAAATATTTTCATTGATATGTTGGACTATATCACAGATCAATTATATATGCTTTATTTGTAAACATGTATATCACTATCAGTTCCATATATTTTATATTTACACGCATTATAAGTAGTAACAACACATAAAAAAATGCATAATAATCTTCACTATTTACACACATTATAAGTGGTTACAACACATACAACATACATAATAATCAAACTCCCCAGCCAACAGGCGGGGCATGGTGCTAGGGATTCTCATATTGGTGAGGATGAAGAGATATGATTAGAAGGAATCGCTGGAGAACCCAAGGAAGATGAAGTGGAACTTTTGAGAATCTGAGATAGGATTAGAAACCAGAAGGGAGTCGATCGATTGTTGGTGAAGGACGGATACAACCTTTAGCTTTGGTTCCACTTCCCTGCCATTCAATATGGTGGCCCAGTATTTGCCCATTCTTTTGTGGGCCGGAAATCAATCAAAATGTTGGATTGATGGCCAAGTATTTATTTCCTATTACTTTTTTTTTATGTTCATCTCATATAACATTTTTTCAACACATTTTATTACGTTCATCTCATATAATATTTTTATTATTGTTTGTAAAATTACAAATCAATTCTTTTAATTTATCTTCATAATAAACATTAAGTTGCTCTATCCGCGTGGATAGTTTAATTTCAACTTCTCCCATAAACACTTCCATACAAAAAATTTTAGATAAAACTTTCACAGGTATTAATAACACATTTTTTGGGCAAATCTTTTGTACAAACACGAATTTATTACAAAAGTGATCAAAACAATGAACTATCACGAAAATGCCACTTGTGTCCTATTGTTTCCAATATTCCATTTGTGTCCTGAACTATGATACTTTGTGTCATTTGTATCCTGTTAATTTTGTTGACCGTTAAAGATAATAGTTGACCAAATGGCGGTCAACGCGAAGTTGACTTTTGTTGACGTTGCAAAAAATCAGGCTGCCACATAGATGCCACATCACTAACCTCATATTTTTTAATTTTAAATTAAATAAAAATTGAGTTAAAATTAAAACAAACTGTAAATTCAATTATAGTATTAAACAAACTAAAATTAAAACAAAATCAAAATGGAAATAGAACTCCATTGGCGGTGCTTCCAGATCTGCTTCTAGGGAAGAACACGGTCTGTAGATCTCCTCTCACTCCTATTTTCATATCTGAAGAGGCGTCATCGTACGAGGCGGGAGGCAGTACCCGGGGCGACGCCGACCTTCCTCTGTCGACCAACTCCTCCTTCTTTCTTCTTCTTTGCGGTGAAAGACAGGCAAGATCGATGATGCGAGACACTGCGAAATTGAAGCTCTACCTCTCGGCTTCCAACAACAAAACACCGTCGGATCCGCGCTCGCCGTCGCCATTTCCATCTCCTCTCCGCCGCTCCCAATACCCTCATCGATCTGTCAACGCCAAAACTTAGATCGGTGATTCCCCAATCGGCGACCCTGCTTCTCTAACCCTTTCTCTGACGACGCCGAGGGATTCAACAAATCCGCAACCTCCTCGCTCCCTCCTCCTTCATTGCTCCTCGATTGCGACAACTGGCGCCTCAAACCGGCGTCTCAGATGGGTGCGCCTTCCGCTGTAGAAGTGGTCAAGACAGATCTTCGACAACAAAGAAGAAGGGGTTGGAGTGGATCCCTGAGAGAGAAAAATCAAGCAGGAGAGAGGGGAAATCAGAGGGAGCGGTGGAGAGGAGATGGAAATGGCGACGGCGAGCGCGGATCCGACGGTGTTTTGTTAAAATGTAGAGATTTGTGTGGGTGGGACGAAGGGATTAGTGGGTTAAGTTTTTATTTTATTTTATATTTTAATTATTTCCTTTTTCTTATTTTATTAATATTAGATGGAAAAAATTAATATTAAAAATTTCACGTCAGATGCCACATCAGTGCTGACTAGATTTTCTGTTAAAAACTAACGGTCAACAAAAGTCAACACTAACGAAATCATAGTTCAGGACACAGATGGAATATTGGAAACAATAGGACACAAGTGGCATTTTCGCGATAGTTCGGGTGTTGTAGTGGTATTAGCCCTTTTTTATTTCCGAGTGAAATCAAGAGAGAATAATAGTTATACATACAAATCTACCCAGGGCCCCCTTACAATCGATACCCTAGTGAAGCCACACAATAAAGTCGAAAGACTCTAACTCTGGAAGAGACAAAAGCAATGTTTTTACGCGCCACTCTATGGGCAGCACTGTTAGCATATCTAGAAACTGCCCTAAACTCTATACAAACTAACAAAGAGTCTAGGATCTGGGGACACTCTCGTAGGATCGGACCTCCAATTGAATCTTCTAGGATGCCTTGTCGGACATGGTTGACGCCACTTTGGAGTCACCTTCCACTATCACATGAGTCAAGGACCTTGAGGCAACGATGTTGATAGCGTCTCGAACGGCTAGAAGCTCTGCCAGGTAGGGGTTGACTACTCTCTGATGACGCAAACTGGATGTCAGCACCACATGCCCGTCTGACACAAAGACAACAAGGCCATACGAACACCCTGACTCACAAACAGCTGCGTCAAAGTTGATCTTCAAATAGTCGTCCGGCGAATGGACCCATGTGACAGGAGGAGGGCTTGGGAGCGATCTGCGGGGTGGAGGAGGGGGAGAAGATTGGAGACTTCAAGGACATGGTTGTAGAATTGTCTGGCTAGGGAACGGACATGAGGTTGGAAGAATTTAAAATTCACTTTATTTATAGACTTCCAGATTCTCCAAAGTAAGCAGATGCACCGGAGAATGTGGAATGGGGAGGTCTCAGAGACCATGACATGTCGACACCATAGACTAAAGTTAACAGTCGGGGGAATCATTGAAGTTGCTCAGTCCCACTAACGTCCACAATTTGGTGGCTAGGAGGCATCTGGATAATAAGTGTTCAATAAAGCTTCATCAAGAGCATTAGAAGCATCATAATGGGTCCAAAAAATTTATTGAAAAAAGTTTCCATTAAAAATTTGGCAAAAACCGAATTTAGTATCTCCATTTAATAGAAAATGAGAACCGCTAACTATTG